ATATCCACTTTCATGGATTTCGAATTTGGAAGTGTTTACACAATTACCGCCGACCCACCATGAAAATTCCTTAACTTCGATACCGCCTTATAGAGATTTCCTTCAATAGCCCAAGCTAATTCCCAGGTATGTTTTAGATGTATGTCTAAATGTGGGATTTAACTAGAATGAAGTCAATTTGGAGTTATACCACATGTGCAATATTGCCGTCGAAAATCAATAACAAAACGGAGTTTTTGTTATCCATAAAACCTATTCCTCATTTTTTAATAATTTCTGCTCGGCGAGTGTCGCTTTTGCTCTAAAAGAATCTTCTAGTAAAAGAAGAACAGTGATTCTGTTGAAATAAAGTGTCCAAATTTCTCCGTGCGACTTTATTTGCGAACGAGAGGCAAGTTGATGTATGCAAATTTCACGTAAATGATTAGCCAATTTTGTGACTCCGACCACAAAAATTTAGGAAGAAATAAACAAGTTTGCCAAATATTCTTTCGCAAAAAAATAGAAATGCCACACAGAAAAGTTGAAAAGTTTTTACTCTAATAAGCTTTAACCAAAAACATTTCGTGTCTTTGTGAAGAGATGTACTTTTAAAGAAAGGAAATGTAGCTGCCGTCGAATTTCTTTATCAAAATAATCAGTAATTAAACACACGGCTCTTTTTTGGCGCCTCGTAGAAAATGAAAATGGCATAAAAATATACTACAAAATTTTGTCATGAAATACTGAAAAAATTCCTACAATACAAAACAAAAACAACAAAAAAACCACAACTCTTTGTCATCAAGAAAACGCCAACACAAAATGTGTCCTGGACTACACATTACATAATTTTCTGTAGCTAATTTGCATACGGTAATTTATTAACCGCAAGAAAGCTCTCCATCCTTGTTTGTTCTTCAGCACACCTTTATCTCAAATACAACGGTGTAAACGTGATATAATACTTATTTCTAATGTAAAAATGTACAAACCAAGCTCTCATTATTTATTACTTGATTTTAAGGTGGTTCTCGGTCCTGATATTGATAAACTGTCGGACCGTGTTTTATCGAGATAAAAACACTTGATCGAAAAGAACAACTTTATTTATCAAAACAAACTGGATTCCGTTAGCGCATTGTGTTCAAAGAAAATGGCTCTTGAAATTTTACGTAATGCATTCAAGAAAGGATACAACTATTGAGTTTCCACATTCTTAAAAACACTTCTTTAAATGGCTAAATATTGCTACGGAAACTGTTTGATACTCCATCAGATAATTGTTCCTGCACCTTTAAGTGTTTTAGGGCTGTTAAGCTTTACAAACCTCTCTGCTGGTCGGACTGCGTTATCGTTGGTTTCGATCAAGACGGCGAATATTTATTAAATTCACAAAGCTCTTTACGGCGCAGGATGAGGAGTGCCCAAAAGTTTTATTCTATATTTAACTTGCTCTATCTAAGTACTTTTAAGCTGCAATAGACTTAACTCTAGATCAGGTCCCACATAAGAGAAAATAGCTTTCAACCGCATGTACCTCACTCCTCACAAATTTTAATGCTCACGAAAGTTTCATAACTCGGTAAAGTTTCATAACTCGGTAAAAATTTTACAGAATGCAATCGTTTTACCTTTGAAGTATTGAAATAAAGCCATTCTTAAATATGTAAAATAATCAGCTTTCTAGATTGGGAAATAAGGATTTGGTAACGCTCGATATTTATAGCTTAATTATAGGGGTCACAGAGGACAAATTGAGCAGTTTTGGGGTGACCTCTAAAATTGTCTCGTAAAAAATAAAAAAATAAAATTGATTAAAAAAAATGTGATATTTGTACATGGGATAGAATTGTTGACTTTCACTGAAAAACTTAGGGAAATCGGTGCAGGACCGAAATTTGCCTTATCCGTTCTTACGCGGACAGCCTCTTAAGACCTTGACGTCCATTATTTTCCAAACAGAGTATTCTATAGCATTGCTACTTTATATTCAGAGTTCCACAAGGTCTAACTCGATCGTAAAGGAACGAAAAATCCGACTTAAAAATCTTGAAGGTCGGCCGTTTCATTTTCAAATATTTGATCATTTAGAGTGAACGCATCGAATGATGCCCCTCTAGTACCCCCTAAAGCCATCAAAATATTTTTGCAAACGAAGGATTCTGATTGGTTTGTTGATCTCCTAACGATAGAAGAAGTTTGGGGACAAAATTCTGCTTAGTAAGGGAGGTAGTGGCAGTTACGGGTGGTTCAGGTGTCAATGTGTTAGCATATATTTATACTAATAATATATTTGTTTCGTTCATCGCGGAGCTTGCATTTTTGGTTGCACTATATCTTGAGTTGTGAGTAATTTCTAGTGTCGTTTCAGGGCGGTTAAATATGGTATTCTAAGTAATAACAGGTGCAGTAAGCTATATGCAGTCATCGACTGCCTATTTTTTGTGAAGTTTACAGTACGTGTCAAGCTACATGAGGTAAGCGATCATCGCGTAACACAAATTTTACGAGAATGCGTAACCAGTGAAGTGGCGTAGCCACTTGGATATTTAGTCATGAGATCTGTCGTGTTAAGTCGGAAATCCTTATTTGGTGAGCAAAACTCCGGAGGCAAACAAAGGAATATTCGGAATCGAAGAAGCAAAAGTTGTAGAAGACAATGTGCTTTGTCAACTGTCGCGTTTTAAGGGGGGACTGAGGTGGCGAGGAAAGTTTATTTTGGCGAGTAAACCAGACTTTTCTAAGATACTCATACCTGCTCTCACCTTTATAATTGATCTTTTGTAGTTTGTTCATCGTCACTTTGCTGTTAATCGACACGTGGTCAGCGCCGGCCATAAGGTTAGTATAGAGTTAACAGATTTTACGACTTAATTTTCTGCACAAGGATCCACCCCCCAATTACCAAGACATTGTATAGTTTTGTATTAGCCTTTCGTTTTAACTTTTAGATTATCTGAAGTCGTTTAATCTTAATTTCATTTTGTAAGCCTTTTATTGGAACGCCCCAAATATGTGCGAAAAGTCGTCGCAAATTGTACCTAAATTGTATCTATCTTTGTTTTACAGAACTAAATATTTGATGGAAATTCACATGTTGAAATCTGTGCGATTTATTCATATCAAAATGGGGTGACCGCCTAATAGAGCTGAAAATGACACAAAGGGGCAAACGAAACTTTCGGGAATTTGAAAACCGACCACTTAATACGGGGTGACCGCTTAATACGGTGCTGCTTAATACAGTTCGACTGTACGTTTTTGTCAGTTATCCACCAACAAGCAGAACTCTTGTTGCGGTAGTTCCCTGTACAGGACTGCTTTTACTTAAATCTGACATCTGTAATTCATAACCTTTTTATTATCTGCTGAGCCAGAGGTAAAAGAGGGAGGCTTAAAATGAGTTATCACAGGCTCTATTCACAAACTGTTTTATCGTTCAAATCCAACTAGAATTAAGATAGACCTGTAAAAGCTGTGTCTTTTGCTTCATATCAGTCAGAAAGAAACGAACAGGGTTGCTAAGCGGGATATAACTTTATGATAATAATTAATATCGAACATACCACAAAATTCGTAATAAAAATATTAAAATTTACTGTTTATACTTTATAGAGAGAAGTTAATAAAAGTTGATCACATCGCGTGATGAAGGCTGTGTCTTCGATTAGCATTAGAAGTGACTACATCATGAGGGCATAATTAGTTGCGAAACGTTTTACTATGAGACAGTGGCGGTTATAGTTTACTGGAAAGGACTAAGGGCGAGAATGTTTCCCAGGTAGCTTTGAAAATTATGGAGACACTGGCTCGGTGAGATCACCGGCTCAAAATTCAATTCAATAAGAAGTCCACCGATGTAAGCTGGTGCCAGCGCTTCTCGGGTTGTGTACGTGATGAAAGGATGAAAAAGATGTCCAGGTTTGCTTCTGTGTGGCCGTGGGCGGGCATTTATTTAGTACCACAAAAAATAGGGGACACGTACACCAAGATATATTGATGTTTACAAAAAAAAAAACAGGAAAAGTGAATAAAAATTTAAAACATTTCTCAGTATAACAGCGTCTTCATGGCTCTTTACAAAAAAACAGGAAAAATGAATAAAAACTTGATTTAAAACATTTCTATAACAGCGTCTTCATGGCTCTTTAAGGCTGGAAATACAGGTTGTTACCGATTTTATCTTCGGAGAATGTTACCAGTCGCAACCCGTGACTCGCGACTACTGGTCAAACTCACGACACGTTATTGGTGATAGCATGAAACACATTTACTCTTCGAAAACAACATCTCTCTTGGTTTGGACTTGGATATTAGTTGAGAGAGAAACGAAAAACAGACGGGCTAAAAAATTGGCAAGCAACTTGGCGCATGTCGGTTGCGGTTAACCATGGTTGTTAGGGATACAGCAATAGAAAGAGAGCGCTCTTTCGCATGCCATTTTTTGCACACTCTATTCTTTTTCCCGTGGAAAAATTTTTCGCTCTCCTGTTCGTCTCCACCAACTGAATGCCTGGAACTTGACGAAAAAAGGATTATAAAGGGCAAAAGTAGCAAATAAAAAAAGAAAAAAGAGGAAAAAGGAACAAAAAAGGAAATAAAAGAAATAATTATAAAAGAGGTACTACCTCAAAGTTTCAACCCTTTCAACTTATTTTTTCTTGTGTTAATCGACCTAGAAATTTTGTTTTTGAAAAGCTGCCTTAAAGTTAACGGCCCGGCTGTATTTTCCATTCATATTAATTAATATTTTCATACGTCTGACAGGATCTCAGGGTAACTTATTTCCCAGAGCGGAAAGATAATTCTTCACGCGGCAAATTAGTAACGCAAACTTGCAAAATGATAAGAGAAATTTTAAGAACGGAAACGACATTTCTATAACATTTAGGAAGTTTCACAGTGAAAAAGAAGGGTGCTTAACACTTAGTGCCATCATTTTTACGGTTGTTTTGAACTTTAAAATTAAACTTAATGAAACAAGCCTAAAACTAACTAAATACGATTAAAATTTCAACTTCAGTAAAGCATTACGCATTTTAATTTAAGCAAGAAGGCTGAACTATCTGCACTGAGCCCATTCGGTGATATTTGAAGTCGCTCCACTGAAACAAATTTCCCGTCCCTGTCAAGCACGACTTGGACATGCGCCTGATTTCTTGGTCTGAAATCACGTGATTCCAGATATTGACATCTGCCATTTCACCAATGAAACTTTGATATTCTTCAAAGCCTCCTCCCAATTTGTCTTGATCCTGTCCAAGTACAAGGTGTCCACCTCCGCGGATCAATCGGCCTGTAATTAAGAGCAAGAATATGTCTCCATTCCTTCGCTAGTCGTGCTTTTAAACCAATTCGTGGAAAAGTAGTTATTGTTTTTTTGTTGTTGTTAGCTTTTTTAAAGGTGTTTTAGTAATACAAGAGCAAACGATTTAAATAAAGTTGTAGTAAGCAAAACGTTTAATCTGCAAATTTTCACATTTTTTTTGAAAATACTCGACTTGCCTGACGGCAAAATTTTGTGAATTAGTTTGATGTTCGATATTTTCTGAGTACAAATTACCTTTTGCTAATCCTCTACCACTAGCCCCCAATGAACCATCCTTGAACAATTTCCACGATCCAGCAGTATTCTCCCATGCGAAGCAAATGTGATGCCACTTTCCATCGTTGGCAGATACATTGGTGGGACTACTATAATGAACATTGAAAGGATTCAAAGTCTTTCCTTAATAATCCATTTTGAAAAGGTTGAACGATCGATAAAGTAGTTGAAGATTATTGGTGTGATAGATTTTGAGTCTGGTGCGATAATTATTGAACCTGTATCCCTCTTCTATCTCTTTCTGCACGTAGAGAGGTGAAATGCTAAAATATCATCAAGCTCTGTCTGCAAGGCACTTGATGCCATTTTCATGAGATGTTTTATTGTTGACTTCCCATGATTCTAAAACTTTCGGGTTGCTGGTGATGCGTCTTCATATCAAGATATAGATAAATTTGAGAAAGAAAAACGCACAACGCCGATTGTTTTTAAGTCAACCATCGGCTCTGTCCAATAGTGCTTTATTTTATGGATAACAAGTGTGAGGAAATAACATTCAGGGCTCCGCTATTAGGATTAGCTAAATATGGTTCACTAAATAGCTATGACAACATTTACTATTGCTGATTCATGATTTAAATAATACAAGGCGGGCTCTGCACATCATGTGCAGTTTATCGTTCCTATTCCTCAATGAAAGTGTATTCTCGTACCTCCAAACTGATCGTAAGCTGAACACAAAATCTCTGGGCCTTAATAAGAGCAGTTCGTTATCTTCTCCACTCACAGCATAGCTAAGAAGTGTTCCTCTATTTCCTGTAGCATTAGTCTTTATCCACATACAAACTGTCACAGCTGTAAGGCTTGGCATTCTATGCGTGATGATTACGTAATCATTTTCACTCTTATATGGAAATAACAAAGAGTAGTTTGGGCTGACTGAAATCAAACGAAAGGATATTTAGTGAGGAAATGGAGTTTTTAGAAGTTATAACCATCGTAACGGAATGTTCTACCCACGAGAAAAGTCTAGAATTCATCTTAGCAAGAATGACTGGTAACTTATATCTCAGAATCAAGAATATTCCCTGTTACATACAACATCCCGAGTGATTTTAAGACTTCAACGACGCTTCTATTAAGTGATGAAACACCCACAAATTGCATACACGATTTACAACGCGACTCGTACTTTCTCAGTGACCCTGCAATACGTAACGGATATGTTCGGAAGCATCCCCATAACGTCCGAAAAACCAACAAATTGATTATTGCGTTTCGACATTTACTGACTAAAGTTAGATACACACAAACGAGATTAGGGATTCCGGATTCCAGAGGTTTGCAGGTACATCAACGGAAAACTGACTTAACATAAACGAGCGATGATGTAAAAAAATCAAATGCCGGAACATCATCAATCTACAAACCACACTATTAACTGGGACTTTGCTCAATGCTTCATCTGCAGCACTAACTACTTTCAATGACATACTTCATCTCCGATTGTCATTAAGGCTAATAACAATTTTTTCAGGACTAACCTTACCCGAAAGACACTCTAAATAATTATGGAGTGAAACTCTTACTAAATTCACAAGTTGGCTGCACTCCCGTCCATGAACCGTTGACCAGGTAGAGACGCTCTGAGGGTCCATTCAACCAGTAACCACAGTTACAACTGAATGAAATAGACTCCCCCGTGCAGTTTTTCTGACTGTGTGAAAAACCATTCTTCAGGTTTTTCAACAAAGGACAAATTTTCCTGACTGATAGATAGATACATGTAAATACACAGACTCATAAATATAAATATGTCAATATAGATTAATAAAGAAAAACATAAATCTCTTGAGAAATGTTATAAAGTTTCTCATCTCTGATTGTACCATGATTATTTTTACATCATAATAGTTGATTGGCTAGCTAGGGTGATGCGAGTTTGCATAGGGCGGTAAAGCAAAATCAAGCAATCCTACATTACTTACAACACGAAAGTGAAAATTATTTAAAAGATGCATACTTTGCATGACCGATGCCTTTATCGTTTCAGATGTGTTCTTAAATTGCAAAGAGAGCTCTTCGATTGACTTAATCACGAAATCCAGTTTCCTTACGACACTTTTGTTAAACGAGTGAGGACTTGTGTACCACGCCTCGATTGTTTTGTGAATTGGAGCCAGTCTTCCTGAAGAAATTGAAAGACATAAACAAAGATCTTTCAATAATAAATGTGTAGGACAAAAAACATATTGATTCATGGTGTGATTTCGAAATGTCAAAAAAGAAAGTTTTTCAAACAAATTTCGATTCTTACGGACTGAATCAAAATGAATTTCACAGAGAGATTACCGCTGTTTCCGAGTACTATTTCCAAGTTACGCTGCCCTGCGTGATTGTAATTTTCACATAATTTACATAGTGGTTTTAAAGGTTATCTGCGTAAGGAAAAAATATCTGAGATTTCCCAAACACTGGGATTTTGACATGCAAGTATATTTAAATGAAATTAAATCGAACTGTCAAATAAATCTTTTACACTTTTGAAAGTCTACTTTCAGGACATAATATTGAATTTCTCGAGAGGTTCCCCACGTGTGTTGATAGAGTGTTTGTGTGGAAACATTCAAAGAAGTGAAGCCAAAGATCACCAAGCCACTCGCAAGCAAGGGTTAGATGCGATCGGATTGCGTTACATCACATCCTTGAACATACGTTAGATGCGTAATGTCCACTTGCGTATTGGCAAAATTTTTGGGCTTCAAATTGGCGTTTTACATCGTTTTTATATGCGGCTCTTTTCTGTGGAACCTGTCTTACCCGCCAGCCATTATTCGTAGGTAACCACCTAATACAGATTTAACTGTGTAGGAAAATGATATCACAAGGGAGGATTGGTGACTCAACGTGAACGGCCACAAGTAGGAGAAATGTTCATCATTGAGTCAGACTTGTTTTTTCGTTTTGCATCTTCTTGTTTGAGAGAGAGGCCCAAGTTTCCTTCATAGACCAATCACAAACCGCATTAAAGCAAAAGCAATACAACCCAAGTCGAAAATCAATGTAAATATGCATACCTTTCATTTCCAAAGCAGTCGTCCTTTCAGACATGTTCATAACATTCACGTTTACTAAATTCAGGTTTCTTTCCATATTTGTGCCCAGGGAGTCGAGGCGTTTGGACAAAGCTTCAATGGCTTTGAACATTGAGTCCTGGTTATCTATAGACAGCCATGATAAAGAAAGGTGTTAAAAGAACTGACTGTTTACGTATGAGGGACAAGGTGCTGGGTAATGATTTGAGCCCTTAAGCAAACCAGACGTTTTACTGACTGAATTAGAGCTAAGCCTCACTGAAAAAGTTCGACATTCTCCGCATTTGAATACCGGCTCTTTTCTTTACTGAGGCCGCTTTTTCTCGGCAAAGGAGGAGGGGGGGTTGGTAGCGGATGTGTTGCATTGACTGATGCGTGATAGTTGCGCAAGAACCGCATTAATTGGCGCAGGAATGCTCAAGTGAGTCAAAGAAGAGAAAGTGTAGGTCATCGGCAAGACGTTTGAAACACAAGAAGCTTAAAAATTCCTTTCCACAAGAAGCTGCAAGAGGGTAATTAATGTAACTGTGAACTGCCAACAGCGATGAGAAGTTGTTTTGCAACATTTTGGTAACTTCCCAACTAATGCGTCACCAACGAGTGATTGATCGGCGTAACAGATGTATCATTTAAAGCTGCTTTGTGAAAATAAAAATCGTTCACAGAAGAGGTGTAACCATTTTATCCGCTCTTGGTAAGACACACTGAGGAGATAAGGCAAAAATATCTTACAAATCTCGTTCTTTGGATCCGTGCATTATGTTTCTGTTCCTCGTTTTCGCCTTTGTGACTGATGGCTCACGTGCTTTGAGCTCGGCCCATGAGTCAAGAAGAGAAAATAACATATTTATTTCTGTTTCAGAGGGCGTGGTAACGAATCCTGCAATCTAATTGGTTCTTTACCCGGTCAGTATTTTCCTATCTCTGCCCACGGGCCACGGTAACGCTTTCGTGAGTCGCCGAGTACATCCCTACTTTCATTTTTCATAAATATATCTCGTTTTTCTGGCTGGGCAATATTTTTAAGCAAAGACGTTGGTCACAACCTCAAGCCGATAAATAACTTATTAATCCTCTCTTTTCGCTCTCTGAAATCACTTTGGTTGACAGAAAAATATTAGTTTCAGGATGAATTTGTATAAACAATAGTGTCATTACGTTGGTTGACAAGCGGCCTAAAAACCGTCTGCAATTAATTTTAATCGTTCACAAAAAGAACCTAGAAAGTTAAAACGTGAGGTATTTGGTTAAAGTTAACCTGATCGATGGAACTTTCATTAATTTAATATCTGAATTTTCTTAAACAATTTGTTCGTAGTGAAAGAGCGAGCGAATTTTTAAATTCAGTTCTGCAACAATTATACGCTCTCGGTGAGTCTTCCCGAGTCCGTCCAATTTGGACATTTGTACCGTAAATTGCACGACAGAAACGGAAGGAATTTATTGACAAATGGCTTCATTAAATCCCCTTGTGTCTCGTTGGAGTGCGTTATTCGAATTTAGTTTTTGCGGAGGAAAGACCAGATTTACACACGCCATTGCAGCAAACAAACGAGCAAACTCTCACAACTTCAAAATAAAAAAATTTAAATTTACTTCCAATTACTTTCCTCGCTGTTTACTTAATGAACAGATGTAAATCTTCGTACATGAATTCATCGTCGATGAGAGTGAATAATACTTTCCGTTAGATCATAGACTGTTTTTGAAAAAAACATTGCCGCGACAGTCCTTGCTAAACTAGTTTCGTTGTTTTTCAAAAGTGTACGTGCGCTTTTTTTCTTCCTTACGCGCTCTCTAATTGACAGGTGTCAGTTTGTGACAGATACTTGTAAAAATAATGTTTCAAAGTTTGTTTGGAAGCCTTTTAAATCACCTTTATCAATACGCAAATGAAAATATTTCGGTGAAGTATCTCTTTTTAAATTGCATCACCTCTATTATAACTACCATTTACTCGCTCAAAAACTGTTCTGTTTATGGAAGATCTTGCCGTATTTTCAGCCCTAAATCATTCGGGTTCTTTCGGAAAGAATTTCGCTAAGTCAAAAAAATAAATAAATATATTATTTACCGGCTAAGGGTCGGTCCGTATGGTGAAAAACTGTGACCTGACCTGTAACATATATGTATGGACCCCAAATACGGTTAGTAATAAGAGGTGTATTTTCTGCGACTTCATTGGGGTGATTTCACATCGCCGTGTAAATCTTTCACTCGCTTGCTCGAAACGGTTTCCTCTACGAACGTTCTGATACCAAAAACTCTAATAAAGGAACCTTTCTGAGGAAACAATGGTAAGTGATCTCTCTCTTTGTGCTTTTATATGGCATATCATGCACCTCATGCGATATCCACGTCTTTGAGCATAGGTGATTTGCAGATTTGTATGTAAACATAACTACGACTATGATTGCGCCGTGGCGTAGGTAAGTTAACCTTCTTGGCAAGAACCATTTTCCTTGATTTTCATTGGATATTGAAAGATCAGATTTGACACATCTAGTGCACATCGCGGAGCCAAATTGAACAATATATGAGAAGGCCGATTACCAGTCAAACTCTAGAAATTTGTTTTTCATACATCTAGAAATACCTCTTACTAACCGAGTTCAGTTGCGGACCGAGTTTTTCTGCTTGGAGTTACAGCCCCTTCGAAGCAGGCTGCACAGTGAAATACGACCCGCCAAATTGATCAATAATAGCACACATACTGAATGAGGAATATGATAAATGTAATATATGTTATCCACGGAAGAAGATTACATATAAGGGTCTTTTATCTTTTTTTCCCTAATCGTCCTTCACCATAACTGCACATAAACATCCTTCTTCAAACGTATGTCTTACCTTTCTGTGCCCCGCATAGCCTTTGTCCTGAAACATACAGCGTAATAAATATCAATAGCAGGACCAGCAAGACAGCCATGGTGAGCAAACGAGCGATCTTCCAGTGCGCAGCTGTTACCCACCCCCTGTTAGTCTTCTGGCGCTGTTCTTCATCATTACGCAATGGTTGCATTCTGAAACGTAACGAGATGTTTACCTTGGTTTCATTAAACGTACGCAATACCAAAAGGAAATATCACAAAAAAGGATTCCTGATCTGTATGTAGTTTTCGCATTTGAAAATGAAAGTATTAAGTCAACATTTTTTTTAACAAGTTTCAATATTTGCCGTTTGAATATTCAAAAATCGAAACGACAATTGCAAATGTCGTGCACCACTTTCACAAAGAGTTTTAACCCTTCACTCCTAACATATGCAGGCGTTAAATTGATCAAAATCCGAAATTCTCCCTTGTTAACAGGCTTGGAGTTTTGATACTGTTTTTTCTAGTGCAGGGGGCGGCTGTTCACAGGCTAAGGTGTTGTTGTCGCTGATTTTTTTCCTTTTTTCTCCTAATCGGAAGTTGATTTGAAAAGGAATCAGTTATTCTATAGACTGTTATAAAAGATTAACGTATCAAATTACCGACACTATGCGGCCAAGAGCCCTTTATACTGACACGGCACTCGCCAGCTTCATATTGGTAATACAGAAGTTTGAGTAACGTATCACAGACGATCCAAGTTGGCTAAAATCTTCATTGGCAAGTCATTCCGCCAAAATCCTCTAATGTCGCTGATTGCATTCGATTTAAAAAAAAGCTAGAGAATTGAATGCGATACTAACATACTGTTTTTGCGAATAGTTCCCTATTAAGACAGTTTCTTTAGAGTTGCAAAAAACATAATAAAAGATAATATTAAACATTTAACTGTGAATCAAGGACAGCAAAGCCAACTTAATTAAATATTTTGCAAATAACGCAAGGAAAATTCAAAACCAACCTGAGGTACTGATTCCCGAGTGAAATGACAAAATGATTACAAGCTTTCACCTGAAAGGTCAAGATTCAACGGCAGATCTCGTGTTCAAAATGGAATTTATCCTCGAATTCTAGCTGAAGCGGTTGTATATGTCTTTCATCATCGAACCATTTCGAGAAACCATACCGAAAGCACGTGATGGATGTTTTCTAAGGATTGGACCATTCAGGGAAAGAGTTGAATCACGTGCAGGTATGAAAACTGAAATGAATATTTCGTCATTTTTGTGTCTAGTGCGTAACACCTAGACACCTTGCAAAAACGGTAAAAGATTCAGTGACAACAAATGACATAATGCCTTAATGGTTTTTTGTGAAGTTTACAGTACGTGTCAAGCTACATAAGGTAAGCGATCATGGCGTAACACAAATTTTGCAAGAATGTGTAGCCAGTAATGTGGCGAAGCCACGTGGATATTAAGTCATGAGATCTGTCGTGTTAAGTCGGAAATCCTTATTTGGTGAGCAAACTCCCGAGGTAAACAAAGGGATATTCGGAATCGAAGAGGCAAAGGTTGTAGAGGTCAATGTGCTTTGTTAACTGTCGCGTTTTAAGGAGGGACTCGGGTGGCCAGGAAAGTTTATTTTGGCGAGTAAACCAGACTTTTCTAAGATACTCATACCTGCTCTCGCCTTTATAACTTATCTTTTGTAGTTTGTTCATCGTCACTTTGCTGTTAATCGACACGTGGTTAGCGCCGGCCATAAGGTTAATATAGAGTTAACAGATTTTACGACTTTATTTTCTGCACGAGGATCCACCCCCCCCCCCCCCCCAATTACTAAGACATTGTATAGTTTTGTATTTTCCTTTTGTTTTAACTTTTAGATTCTTTGAAGTCGTTCAATCTTAATTTCATTTTGTAAGCCTTTTATTGGAATGCCCCAAATATGTGCGAAAAGTTATCGCAAATTGTACCTAAATTGTATCTATCTTTGTTTTACAGAAATATTTGACGGAAATTCACATGTTGAAATCTGTGCGATTTATTCATATCAAAATTGGGTGACCGCCTAATATAGCTGAAAATGACACAAAGAGGCAAACAAAACTTTCGGAACTTTAAAAACTGACCACTTAATACGGGGTGACCGCTTAATACGGTGCTGCTTAATACAGTTCGACTGTACGTTTTTGTCAGTTATCCACCAACAAGCAGAACTCTTGTTGCGATGGTTCCCTGTACAAGACTGCTTTTACTTAAATCTGACATCTGTAACTCATAACCTTTTTATTATCTGCTGAGCCAGAGGTAAAAGAGGGAGGCCTAAAATGAGTTATCACAGGCTATATTCACAAACTGTTTTATCGTTTGAATCCAACTGGAATTAAGATAGAACTGTAAAAAGCTGTGTCTTTTGCTTAACATCAGTCACAAAGAAACGAACAGATTGTTTGTATATTTGCTCCAAAAGTGTGCCAGTGTCAAAAACAACGTGTGTTACGTGCAAAAAATACTTGTTTCCCTACAGTAAACAGTTAAGACCAGCCTTTTTATTTAATACTTTCTCTCCAGCAGAAACACAGTGGATCAATTTGCTTATTGAGAAAACTCGGAAGTCAGTCTAATTGTTAAAAAGGCTATGAAAAACTTCTTTGAAAACTACTGCACTTTGGTACACCTACGCAACCACTGACATCCATTCAGCATACCTTCAAGGTAGACCTATAGCGCAGTACAGCAGTTAGCATGCAATTTCATCTTGCACTAGACAAACGTTTGCAGCGCGGACCGGCTTTTTCATAATAGAACCTTCCCTTATCTCGAATCGTAGGTAATTTTTGCTGCCATTAAATCTACAACATCACAAAAAAAGCCCGAACGAAGCAATGAGTTGTAAAAAAGTATTGAGAAGCAGCCACAAATACCAAGAAAAGATAAAAACCAAGCGACTCTTTAGCGAACATGGCGGCAGAAAGAAGTGAGTCATGAAATAAACTATGGGAACATTTATTAATCACAATGTATTTTGACAAATGTCAACTAAACAAGTTTTAAGTCTTTTCGAGACGATAATAATGCGTGCTTATGATGTCAAACAAAACAGCTATTCGTTCACCAGAGTTGTTCATTAATTATAAAGTTTTCAGTGAGCGATCTATCGTTTACTTTTATTCATAGTTCTTGATTTATTAATGGCACTAAAGAAAGTTTTTTGGAGAAACCTGAATGAGTTTTGTTGTCCGTCAATAAACAGAAATCAATCCTGTATACTGGTTATCATTTTTAAGTCAATAAGAAAGCCTCAGTACGGCCTATAGTTTAAACTCGAATCGTGTTTTGAACCCGTTACGACAGTCAAGCGTTGTTCAAATAAATTAGATGCGAACATAGGCGTCATGAAATGTCATATCCACGATAAACATGTTCCTACCCTCCAAAATTACTAAAGTATCAGATAATCGATAACCTTTGAGGGCAGCCTCACCATTTTTTAGGAAATAGCCAACATATTCGAGTTTTGCAGAACTATAGCACCTGTAGGGGTCACCTTCAATTGAATGAGTCAGACGGAACATGTTTAATAATAACAACAATAAAGATGATGATGATGATGATGATAATAATAATAATAATAATAATAATAATAGTAATAATAATAATAATCTGTCTTTGATAAATCAGAAACAACAAACGTGTAACTTTACAATATGTTAACAAGGAAATCATAGGTATAGTTAAGAATATGTCAAAATTGTAGCATTATAGCATCATGTACAAAAAGAGGCTGAAAACATTTGATTAATAGAGCTTTCATATATATAATTTCACAAAAGAAACCAATAGCTCTATTTAAAGGCTAATCCATGATATTAGGGCGAAACATGCAAACGTAACGCACTAGAAGTTTCCAATTAATATTAAAAAAAAGAACGATTTAAATGTCTTCTGTCCACACTAAAAAGGATAACCGTGCGCTACCTTACACATGCCCATAATAATGGTCAAAATTTTTAACCTCGATACTATTGCTGTCGCTGGTGTATGCAATGATAATGGTGCTTTATTGCGTAATTAAAATCAAAATCATTAAAGTATCTCACAGAGAATCAAAGTCTAAGTAAGCTCATTTTCATAACAAAAATTGAGCAAGTTATTTGTTATTTGATCCAAGGGAAGTCGGCAAAATAGCCAAATAGGGAGTGAGCAATATCTTTATCATGCGTTCGGAAGTTTGCGTTTTGCAACTTTTCAACCAGCGAGAACAACAATGATATTAAAAAACCGACACAAACATAAAAGGAGACGGTAAAACAGGCAAACTGTTTATGGCACGAGAAAACACGTCTTCACGGTGCGAATGGTTTTTGTTTTGCATCTCATCAGTTGATAGGAAAACCAAATCAAGACATTCCCGAGTTACTTTCCACACTCATTGGTAGGATGAAAAAAGAAAAGATGCGGGCACACATCAGATTATCAACAAAGAGTTTTCAAAGGTTGTTTTTAATGTAACATCCTTCACAATGTTCACAAATCATATCATGGATGTTTTCACTTCAGCACGATGGCTTAATTATCTTCACTGAACCCTTGATGTGAGCTTTGAACTCGCGCCACTGAAACACGTTGCCCACCCCTGTCAGGCACGACTTTGACATGCGTGCGATTTCTTGGTCTTTTATGACGTGATCCCAAATGTTGACACCTGTCATTTCACCGATGAAAGATTGATGGGCTTCAAATTTTCCCCCCTTTAAGTCTTGATCCTGCCCTAGTACCAGGGATCCATTTGCACGAATCATGTGACCTGTGGGGACATTAACAGGAAATTAAGGAAAAAGATAAATTCACCAGTTAAAAAAGATTCAACTTTATCTTTTGCTTTGATTAAGAAAATCTCTGAAGGAAGTGATAAAAAGCTGAAAAGTGAGTACATTTTTAATTTTCCTAATCAATAATTTACCGAATAAGTGAGTCATGTTGCTCTGTTTGTTCCAACCTCCGCATTACTCTTTGGGAACTACGCACTTTATCTTTAAGTGACTAACATCACGTACACTGTAGCATTTAAGTGATAAATTTCACAATCATTTATCAAGTAATTTTACCATCACAGTTACGTGCATTTTTGTCAAGGTTTTTGCATGTTTTTCAAGTATTTATTTTTTGGCATCAGTGATCATTACCTCGTCAGAGTTTGTCTG